AGCAGAGGAAATTTTTTTCCTCGAGGTACCGATGAGTAACCTAGAAATATTTGGAGATCCCTTCTGCAAGGGAATAAATTTGCCATCCCACCTTTCATGAACTTTCATAGCCATGCATATCAATCATACCTCAAACTCATGAGCTTCTCCTTTTTCTCCTTCCAGCTGATATTCTTAAAGTTTATCTTAAGAGTCATTCAAGGGTTATGTAATACTTCACTATTTTTCTTGCTTTCATAGCCAGTTCCTCAAGAGAGATATAAATATTTAGCAACTGGCTTTCTAGGGGAAAAGTGCCTGAATTTAGAGGGTTTGCCAATTTCTGAGGTGTGAATATTCCCACAGTGGCCCAGTTTCAGGCTACCTACATGATGTCACTGTCATGGCGTTGGGAAGAGATGAACACAAGCAGCTCTGTGAGCCAGCTCCACCACACAGTTGGTTGTGGGCCTGCTATTCCCATCTTTCCACACTTGTATACTTTAGTAGTGGCTTCGGAATTTTTACATAAAAGGGAATTTCAGAATCAACTCAGTTGGAAAGGGAGGCTTCATGGGAAGCACACTGCTTTTATTGGATTATACATTTATTTGAAGTGAGTTGTGGGGGGACTCGGGAGGAGTAGCAGAGCTGCCCAGCCTGTGCTGTTTGCCTACCCTTGGCATAGCTACCCATAGACATCTTCTAGTCTAGCCTTGTTCCCTGAGCTTGAACCATCTTTGCAACCTCTCCAACATTCTCCTAATCACTCTGCTTTGAAATCTTAGAATCATCCCTGATTCTTTTTCTAGCCTTGCTTCCTACATGCCACCAGTCATTAAATGCTGCCAATGCCACTTCTGTAATAATTTCCATATCTCTTCTCTTTGTATTCTTACTAACAACATTGATGGATTCTTTCCTATCTCTTGTATGGAAATAGCCTCATAGTTGATATCTCTACCTGTGGACTTTCCCCTGCTAATCAGTGCAACTTTAAATCTGCTTCCTTTGTAAGTTTTCTAATTGTTTCACTGGTCTGTTGGAAAACCTCTAGTAGCTTCTTATTGCCCACCACAAAAGCCCAAACTTGTTGAGGCTATTAAGGCTTTCCAATTTTGGGAAATAAGATAATTTCCCAAACTATCTTAAATTCAATTCCAAGGGGTAGAATTACTGGCTCAAAGGGTATAAATATTGGTAATATTCTTAATCCGTTGGTTAATTTGTGTTCCCATAAGCAGTGCTAAGAATACTGCACCCCACCCTTACAACAAGATAAGATGTTTGGGAGATAAGATGTTTGTTATCTCCCAGTAATAGCCACTTTTGTGTAACTACATGCCGGTATTATGGTTTTACAAATATCACCCAATCTGATAAGTCAGGCACATCTAGGTGAGTGCTAGATGATAAATGTTTCTAGTGATACCTCTGCTTATGAATATACTACGCTGAAGCTTTCAGGACAACCCACCCGTTCCTGAATAAGTGAAATATTCCTCCAACATCTGCACCTTTCTTTGTATAGATTTCTCTGATGTCCTCCCTCCTGTACAGTTGAAATCTTCCCTATTCAAAGTCCAACTCAAATGCATGTAGTACTTATAGACATTAATAACAAAAGAAGAAAAAATAGATCCTAAAATCAGAAGTAAAAGAGACTGTGGCATCTATATAGCTTACACCAGAAGCCAGAGATGGACTGGGGCCCAGACAGGAAAGAATGTTAAGGACCAATGAGGAGCAGTGAAAAGCAACTCCTAGAAAAGGCATTTTAATGCTGTTGAACCAGAGGCATCATGTGCCTCCATGTCAGGGTGACAGTGAACCTTCTAAAGCTGGTTAGTACTATCAAGCAGCAATGCATAAGAGTACCTCAACTAGGCAGGTCTAATCCCAGATTTCTTCCCAGATATCTAGTAGAGCCTAATTATATACTTGATACGAGTGTGTGGAACTGATTTAAACCAAGTAAGAATGGGTGTAATACTGGAAACCCCAGAGAGTGCATTGAGATAAAACAAGATTCAAAAGTGCAATTGCTGAGAGGAACACGCTTCTCAATTTTGCACCATGAGTATTCTTAGCGGTGGTTAACTTGGAAGATTTAACAAGGATTGTAAAATGGGAAACCTCTTGGCTATGGGGTTCAACTTGGTAGGAATCTTGTTTTCCCAGTCTTACCCTTCTTTACATTTCGCTACATTTTACACAGTTGAAATAGGACTATGTTTCCAGAGTTTTTCAAATACAAAAGAATAGTTTTAAAAATCACCCATAACCCCACCATATGGTAACCAATTGACATTTAGTCTACTTCCTTCTAATATTTTTTCTACATATATATTTCTCTACATGTTATGTTAGGTATAAATTTCTTGCAGCCTATAGCATCACAATTATTGATATAATTTATCAAAAATTAGTAAAAATGAAGAATTATAAAAATGACACATATATTCCTAAGGTTTTTCTTTCAACTTAAAACACTTGAATTTGTATCATTCACTAACGATTTAGTGAGTTTATATCATTCACTAATCATTTATAAGGCCAGATGTCTTTGAGAATGGATCCATTGGTTGGAGTTTTGGTTCATCTTTCTTACAGAAACTCACTATGGAACGTCAGTATTTTTCTGCTTCCATTTTGTTACAATGGAGAGAGGCAATCATAATTAAGAATAAGAATGTTAGGTGTTCACAACGATTTTCCTATCTTTTACAGCTGTCTCACTCACCCTTAATTCAATAGTAACTTGGTTTTAGCAGCCCACCTTTGTCAAGTTTTCCCAGACCATTCAACTTCATTTCAAAGGAACAAGAACACTTTTTGAACTCATGCTTCATCCTCTTTATATAATATAACTGTAGTCAAATTATGTGGTGACAAGAACAAGAGTAAGTGCCATGCGTAAGTTTATGAAGAGCCACTTACTCTTGGTCTCATGCAATATCGGTGACAGGTACTGGGCCAGCCTGCCAGAGAGAGGTCCACTAGCTACCACGATTCCTTGAGTCATGGCCTCCTCAGGAAGTCCTACCTTGGGAACAGAAAGCTTGTCTGTCTGTTAGGGGCAGGTTATTGAGAAAGTTTCTTCTGTATAACCCTGTAATGAACTTGATTGTTCATAAACCCTAACCAGTTATTTTGTTAACTATCTTAAATTCAATTCCAAGGGGTAGAATTAGTGGCTCAAAGGGTATAAATATTGGTAATATTCTTAATCCATTGGTTAATTTGTGTTCCTATAAGCAGTACTGAGAATACTGCACCCCACCCTTACAACTGAACATTATTCTTAGTCTTTGACATTAAATATACAAAAATACAGAGCTTTGTGTTAATTTACTTGAGTATGGTATTACATAACATGGTGGAGCTCACCCATGCGTGCATTTCAACTTCTCCTAAGAAGTGGCTTAAAAATTGTCATATCTTATCATTTCAGTTACGAACTATATTACATTGCAACAAAGTAAGTAATGAAAAACAGCATATTGATTCTGTTATAAAATATTGGCAAATAAATTCTATTAGGCCTATGCCAAATAAAAAGGAGGGGCAAGGGAAGAAGGGAAAAAAGGAAGGAAGGAAGGGTGGAAGGAAGGAAGGGTGGAAGGAAGGAAGGAACGAAGGAAGGAAGGAAGGCAAGCCCAATAATTCATGGTATATTATAATAAATAAGCATCAGCTGAAATTTTATTGGAAGGGAAACAGTATTTTAATGTTTAGCTTTGTTCTAAAGCATAGTAGTCTGCAAGGTCAACATATGTTCCTAGCCACTGTTACCCTAATGAATTCATCACAAAGTTTTAAATGTTCCAGAAAACGTCCAAGGAGCAAATATAGTTATAATAAGTATTCCCTAGGTTAGAAAGACAAATTTGAAAGAATATTATTTAATTTGGGGTATTTTTCTGTAAATGTATTTATTATTACATTTTCCAAAGTATTTTAAACAAAAAGAGATATTGTAATCAGTTGCTTACAAGTCCCCAAATAAAATGTACCCTATCTACAAATAGAATTAGAAATTTCCTGTCTCCATAGCAGATGACTTTAGAGGAATAGAATTTATTATCTAAATTAGCCCCCCAAAACACTGATCTATATCCCTTTATATTAAAACCATATCTTAAGTGAAAATTGAGAGTAGCATAATAATACTTATGGTGGCATTATTGCTTAGTATTTGAACTATAATTATTCCCAAAACACCCAGGATGTATGATTACCTCACCTATATATGTCCTCAGAGAAAAATCTATCTTTGAGTGCAATTAGTCAAAGCTAACTGAAAACCATAAAAACTGTACAGTACTACAAATGCAGGCTAAAACACAAAAGGCAGTATTTATTCATTTAACAAGTGTTTGCTGAGAACTTATCATGGGCTGTTCCCTGATCTAGGCACTTAGGGTATCAATGAGCAAAAAAGGACGAAATCTTGCCCCTTGAAGCCTGCATTCCAGCAGGGGAAGACATTTCATATATAATACTCACAATAAATGGGTAAATGTTTTGGTATTTTAGGTGATTAATGTTATGGAAAAAAAAATAAGTTCAGCTGGGCTTCAGAAGTGGCAGAGAGTGGAAGTCAGTGGACTTGCAGTTTGAAATAGCTTGGTCTGCAGGAACCTCTTTGCAAATGGATGCATGCGCAAAGCCCTGCATAAATCCCTCCACCTTGTGTCTCTAATCTTGCCCCTTATTCTCTCCTCACCTGGTTGGCTCCAGCTGCCATTCTGAACTCCTCACTCTTCCCCATGAGCCCCTGCACAGGGGCTTTGCACCAGCTGCACCCTCTGCCTAGAACTCTGTTTCCCAAGCATGCAGGGAAGAGAAGGCAGCCAAAAAATAACCAAGTATAAGGCTTAGTTTGTTTGTGTTGTTGTAAAGGAATACCTGAGGCTAGGTAACTTATAAAGAAAAGAGGTTTATTTCACTCACAGTTCTACAGGTTGTACAAGAAGCCTGGCACCAGTATCTGCTTCTGGAGAAGGCTTCAGGCTGCTTCCACTCATGGTAGAAGGCAAGAGGGAGCCAGTGTGTGCAGAGATGAAATGGGGATGGAGGAAGGAAAAGAGGGACAGTAGGTGCCAGATTCTTTTTATCTATCAGCTCTCATGGGAACTAATGGAGAACTCATTCATCTTCAAGGGAGGATATTATTCACAAGGGATCCACCCCCATGACCTAAACACATCTCACTAGGCCCAACCTCCAACATTGGGGATTAAATTTCAACATGAGGTTTGGAAAGACAAACATTGAAACTACAGAAGAGGCAATATGTGCAAAGTGTCCTGAGGTTGGTAAAACAACAAACTGATATAGAAGAGGAGAAATGGAACAATTGCTGCTGTTTGGTGTTATCAGAAAAGATCTTGGGGCAAAGTTACTTTTGAAAAATGCTTTTGAAATTTACCCCTTTTGTCTGTATTTTCTTTTATCCACATACATCATGAGTTCATGTTTATTTCCCATTCTGTACTCTTGGAGACACTTAACATGAGTTTGGGAGTCAGACTTGGTTTTGAATTTCAACTCTGCTACTTAGTAAATGCACACCTTGGATAAGCTGAAATTCTCTGGGCCTCAGTTTCCTCATCTGTAAAATGAAGACCATAATCCTTCTTTGAAGCTTGTTTTCAGATACATAAATAACACACAGAGTCTGACAAATGACAATAATCCTGCAGGACTTTTTCCTTAGTTCAACTAAAGATGGAGTTCTTTGTCCAACAGCCACGAAAATTCGGGCTCGCAGACAATTTGAATGGTTAGCAAGACAGGGTTTTACTGAGTGAAAAGGAAGAAAAGGGGGAAAAAGGGACTCTCCCAAGGCCTGAGTCCCTACTAGAGCACTTCCTGCCCGGCGTTTGAATCCCAGGTTTCACACAGGAAGAGGAAGGGCCAGGCTCCTCCCTGCCGCAAATGGTGCAGACTTCCTGGGGCTCCACCCCAGTGCACGTTCCCTGCAGTGCACAGGCTGGTTCGCGAGCAGTGCACAGGCTGGTTCGCGATTCTCTGGAGACCCCCTTCCCACCTGGCTATCTCAATAAGAGAACATACCGATCAGAAAATGAAATGGATCAGATAGTGAAGGACATTTTTTAAACTGTGCCAAAATATACACATCTTATTTTGTAGGTGAATGGGGAACCATTAAACTTTTTTGTGTGTGTGTACAGACAAGTGGCATATTTGTTTGTTTTACAAAGGTAACATTAGCAGCAAGTGGAGGGTAAGTGTTTAGCATTGACTAAATGAGGGCAGTTAGTGTAATATTGCGCTTTCATGAGATATGATAAATTCAGTTAAGCCCAGTACTGACAGAAGAGGTGGATTTGATAACTGGCAATTAAAATATGTTTTTCTAAATTTTGTAGGTTGACATTTAGTCAATTCCGAAAATACAGACTAGAGAAATAAAAATAAACGCCGTTTTTTCTTAATCATTTTTATTGATGTTTTGACTTAATTTCGTAGTTGTTTGTCTAGGTCATCTTTGGATTTATTGTTTGAGGAATGTATGATTTGAAAACCAACTGCTAGAGCTACCAGGAATAGGAAAGTAGGCGGGTGGCGGGGAGTGGGCAGGGCAGAGAAATCAACTAATAAACAGGAGTCAGAAAGTCTGGGAAAAGTAACTTAAGTAAACTTTTATTTTGTGACCTAACAGACATTACTTTAAAAAGCATTTCTCAGCTGTTGACTTTGAAAACTACTCACATTGCCCAGCTTGGAGCTTTTAGATAACCAAGATGGATAAGAAAATTATGGTTTCCTTAGTTGCATGGCCAGGCTGACCTCCCCGTACAGCAAAGAGCAGACGAAAAGGGTGTTGAAGCATAGACCAGCACGAATCCATCATCACTGACAGAAACTTCAGAGTGCATGCTTGCTCAGTTTTGCCTAGGTGAGGAGCACCAGATCTTAAATTTTTTATTATTTTTGAGTAGGTAATAAGTTCATATAGTTTAAAATTCCAAAAATACAAAAGGATGTTAAGCTAAAACTGTTCCATCCATTCTGTTCCCCAGGCACCATTTTCCTTCTCTGATAGCAATTTTTTATTAATCCTTGCAGCAATATTTTATATATCTACAAGCAAATATACTCATTTTTCTCTTCTTAATACAAAAGGTAGCATACAAAATAGGTCTGTGTCTTGAAATTTTGTTATTATTATTGGATTTTTGTTTTGTTTTAGTTGTTGTTTTACTTAAAAATGTATTTTGGAGATTATTCCATATCAATACTTTTTTTTTTTTTTTTGAGACTGGGTCTCACTCTATCATCTAGGCTGGAATGCAGTGGTACCATCTTAGCTCACTGCAACCTCTGCCTCCCAGGCTCAAACAGTTCCGCCACCTCAGGCTCCCAACCAAGTAGCTGGGACCACAGGTGCGTGCCACCATGCCAGGCTCATTTTTTTTTTTTTTTTTCATTTTTAGTAGAGATGAAGTTTCACCATGTTGCCCAGGCTGGTCTTGAACTCCTAAGCTCAGGTGATCCGCCCCCTCACAGCCTCCCAACGTCCTAGGATTACAGCGGGAGCCACCTCACCCAGCCCCATATCAATTCTTAAAGAGCTTCCTCATTATTGAATATGGCTGCTTAGTATTCATTACATAAAAATAGTATAATTTTTATAACTAACTCTTATTAATGGACATTTAAATTGCTTCTAATCTTTTGTTATTTCATGCAGTGAAAAACCTTGTGCATATATCAATTAGCACATTTATTTATTTTACTCACAACATTAGTACCTAAGGTGGAATTGCAGAGTCAGTGTGTATACAACCTGGTATTTTTGATAAACATTGTCAAGTTGTTCTTTATAGGAATTATACTAATTTGCATTCTCACAGGTCAAGTATGAGAAGTGCTCTCTTTGACTGGAGAGCCGAAAACTTTATCATTAAGTCATATCCAGCTGGAGGAAGTTCTCTTACATCAACTCACAGGCATTCATTCTAAGGACGTTTCTGTCTATCAAAGGTGAATATGCTTACCTCCTGGATTGGTGGTTCTCTCAATCAGAGACAATTATGTCCTCCCAGAAATGTCTGGAGACATTTTTGATTGTCACAGCTGGAAGTGGGGGCACTACTGGGATCTAGGGAGTGGTCAGGGATGGGCTGCTAAACATCCTACGGTGCATAGGACAATCCTCCTTTCTTCCCTTCCCTGCCACAAGCTATCTGGTCCAAAATGTCAATAGTTTCAGGGTGAGAAACTCTACCCTAGATTAACATCTGGCTCCTCTTGATCATATTAAATACATCTCACAAAGCTTAGGATTCTCCACTGTAATTTAAGATCTATGCTGAATAAAATGATAAATCCTCTGTACTTCTGTAGTACATTTAGGGGAGTTGTGTTCTGTTTCTTTTATAACACTTTAATTCTGTTTAGTGCAGAAAGTGTGAGCTCCTCGTAGACATAAGTGTATCTTATTTATATTTGTATACTGAATATCTGGCACAAAAAGGCAGTCTGCTTATTAAATGAATGAATGGATGTCAACAGTATTTCTTAATTGTCTTTGTATGATTTAAGGGGTTATTTTATCTTTAATCAAAGACCATTCTTTTTCACCCTTACTTGATTCACCTTTCTCTTATTTCAAATGTTCACTTTTCTTTAGACTTACATAGGGGCAACTTTTTCTAGCTACAGAACTTTTTCTAGCCTACAGAATACAGGAAACATCAATTGAATTAGAAATATTGGCCTTTTCCCTGATTTGAACATCTATAAAGTAGTTTATTACCACCGCATTAAGTCACTTAATTATATACATTCTTGCTCACTTATAGCTTCTGATTGAATTTGTCTTGTCTCCTCAAAAAGATTGATATCTCCTTAAGGGCAAAAAGCAAAACCTTTATGTACTTGCGATGCCTAACTTAATGTTTTACAGACTGTAAAGCAAGAGAGTGATGGGTTCCTTCCTTCTCTCCCTTGCTTTTTCAATCACAACTGACAGACCAAACCTGAAGATTGCAGCCCCAGCAAAGAAGCTGTTCATTCTCAAGAGCAGAGCACCCCAGATTCTCTCAGGCAGCCTGGTTCTCCTTGCAAACAGCAAATGGGGAGCACAGAGCAGGTATAGACCACAAGACCCTGAGGAATCTGCTTCACAACTTTGCCTATTCCTGGGTTTCTCCGTATTCTCTAAGAGTGGAAGAGCCCTAAGGCACCATCTCAGTGAACAGCTCCCTTTCCACTTCGATTCCTCACTGCATATATATTACCACCAGACATTTTTCCATCCTCCATTGTGATTAAAGACCCAAGTAGGGCCAGGCGCAGTGGCTCACGCCTGGAATCCCAGCAGTTTGGGAGGCTGAAGCGGACGGATCACCTGAGGTCAGGAGTTCTAGACCAGGCTGGCCAGCATGACGAAACCCCGTCTCTATTAAAAATACAAAAAAATTAACCAGATGTGGTGGCACATGCATGTAATCCCAGCTACTCAGGAAGCTGAGGCAAGAGAATTGCTTGAACCCGGGAGATGGAGGTTGCAGTGAGTTGAGATCACCCCACTGCACTCCAGCCTGGGTGACATAGCGAGACTCCATCTCAATTAAAAAAAAAAAAAAAACCCAAGTTGGGGAACTAGAGGAAAAACTTGGTGGTGTCTGATGTGAGCTAAAAGCAGAAATCACCAATAAGTTCTCAGCCTGTTACAGCGCAGCAGGGGTCTCCCACTTAGATGTCCACCTCTGCATTTGGAAGACGCCTTTGCCAAAAGGCAAGCAAGTGAAGTGGAAGACTTGTTTTAATGAGAACCTGGAATAGTTGGGGGTGGTAGAAGGGGGCAGTGTGGCAGCCAGGGAAAACGGTAGCAAGATCAGTAAGGTCAAGAATGCAGCAAGGACAAGAATACTTGTTCATAAGGCTGAATGGCACTTTACTGGTGCTAAATATATCCTGTAGAAAATTGGGATGCAGAGCAGCTTTGATCATATCTAACACAGGATTTTAAAATGCAAATGCAAAAACATGCAAATGGAAGCTGCCTAGTTTACTTCTATTAGCATGTTGTTTAACCACCACTTAGCCCTGAGATCCTGTTGCATTCTCTTTGCAATTAAAATAAGCTTGCAATTGAAGTCCTTCAAAGCTGAGCTGCAAAAGAAGAAAATATTCAGATTTGAATATTCGTCAGGCAAACCAAGTAGATGATAAGATCCAGCTTGATTAGAGAAGGTAAGAATAACAAACCTAAATGTTTTAATCACTTCTTCTGGAGAAGAGTTCAAGCTTAAAAAAAAATGTTTTTGTTGAAAACGGAGCAAAAAAGTCTATTCCTCTCACCTTATTGAAAGAGAGTAAAGCGCATTGTGGGTTAATTTTCAAGTTAGCTAAATGTTACCTCTTCAAGTGATAGTCTTTAGATTGGGGTTTGGGGGAACATGTAGTAAACTTATTTAAATGTTGGACCATGTAAGATGGACTCTGCAACATGTATTACATAATTCCTGCCTCCATAGATAAATTATGCCAAAATACTAATTTTTAGGAATAATAACTCATGATTGTTTATTATATTCTAAGCAGCATGCTAAGTGTTTAACTTATTTCATTTGAGCTCACAACAAGTCTTTGAAGCAGGTCCATTTTATTTTGTGACGTTTTCCAGTGCCACAGAGAAAAGGATACTGATGTACAGCTGTGGAAAGGCTGCCAGTGACAGGGCTCAGAACACATTACCCCGAAATAGGGCGCCTTGGCAGAGTGACTATTTTAAGCTGAAGGAATTTGAGAAATGGCAAGTACAGGAAGGACTCTCACGCCCCTTTCTCTCTCATAAGACCCTCATGTGAGGGGCGCCCTCCCCGTAGCCAGAGGGAATCCAAGTGAAGGAACAGGCTTTGCTAAGTTTCCTGCAGTTTACTACTCTTAGCTCCTGCCCATTTGTCTTATCACATTTTTCCACGATTTTCCATTCTTCATCAACCCTACTATAAAAATGCGCAGGTTTGGCCAGGCACGGTGGCTCATGCCTGTAATCCCAGCACTTTGGGAGGCCAAGGGGGCAGATCACGAGATCAGGAGATGGAGACTGTCTTAATTTAATTTAATTTAATAATTGTCTTAATTTAATACTTAATTTAGGAGAGCTAAATAATTAAACATGAGGCCAAAGTACATAAGAAAGCGGCAGTCTTTTATTGCAAATATGCACACACTCTCCAGGCGAGGTTCTCCGGTCCTCAAGTATGGGGCCAGGGAAGTCACACCGGCGCTCTCCGGTGATGTCCTCCGGTCCACAAGTAGGAGGGGCTGAAGAAGTCATGCCGGCTCCTGCCAGCAGCCGGGGACTTTTATGCGTTGGTACTGGAAGGGGGAGGGCAGTGGTCAGGATAAGGGCGTGATAGGGGCATCTCCATAGGCGTGGCCAGGTAAGTTGTGATCTCTTCGGATTGACATCACCTGGCCCATGCTCAGTTGATCTGCATCTTGGGTGGGGGGAGGGGGCTGCATTTTCCCGCGCCCGGGAAAGTTGGTGAGGAAGAACCGGGAAGCAACATGGATTGTGCCTTCTTGTTCACCTTCCTCCATCTTGTCCTTTCACCCTCACCCAAACAGAGACCATCCTGGCTAACATGGTGAAACTCCATTTCTACTAAAAATACAAAAATTACCTGGGTGTGGTGGCCTGTGCCTGTAATCCCAGTTACTCGGAATGCTGAGGCACGAGAATTGCTTGAACCCAGGAGGTGGAGGTTGCAGGATGGCGCCACTGCGCTCCAGCCTGGTGACAGAGCAAGACTCTGTCTCAAAAAAAAAAAAAAAAAAAAAAAAAAAACAATGCTCAGACTTAACCATTTCTACAAGTCTTCGTTTCCTTATGAAGGCGTCTATGTCACATAAAGCTTATATTAAATACAGTCATATGCTTTTCTTTTGAAATTCTTTTTCCTCCTACCTTCCTGGGTTCTCAGGGCTCCAGCCAGAGAACCCAGGAAGGTAAGAGGAAAAAGAATTTTCCCTCCCCTACAACACCAAGCGTAAACCTTCTAAAATGATCTGCAAATATGTGTGTGTGCACACATACATGCATGTGATTCTACAGGGTTCATGGTTTTCATCAACTTCTCAGAAAAGTCGATGGCTCTTAAAATGTCCAAATTGGATTAATCGTTATGAAGAGCAGGAATTTCTGTATTGCCTAATTGACCTTTATTAGCTTGGGTTAGTAATAGGTTTAAAGGAGTGTTCCTCTACCACTATGCTTTTTGAGTTTTCTGTTACTGTTCCTATTGTCTGATGATGCTGCTTGCCCAAGTCATTGAGTTTGCCTCCACAAAAAAATAAAAATAAAAAAGGTCTCTCTTCCCTGTGTAAAACTGGTGGACAACATGGACTCAGGAACCAGATGGTCTGGATTTAAATTCCGTCTGCACAACTCACTAGTGGTGTGACTTTGCCTCAGATTCCAGATCTGCAAAGCAGGGCACACAGTAAGACCATCCTTATAGAGTTGTTCTAAGGAGTAAATGAGTTCACATACAGAATAGTGTCTGCAATAGAGAAAGCAAGAAATAAGTGCTTGCTGTCCCATGATTCTAATCTGTTGTGAATTTAGAAGCCATCTGTTCAAATTGTATTTGACAAAAGAGGGGGGATATTTAGGGTCATCATGCTTCTTAAAGCCCTTTTTTTTAACCTCTTAGTTTTTATCCAGTCCTGCTTACAGTGGAATTCAGTAAGATAACAGGTCATGCACTCGTTTTTCTAGAACAATGTTGAAAAGACAAACTGGATGGGGAGAAGGGGTGCAGCTTGTTTCTCGTGAGCCTTTTATTAAAGTAACCACTATAATTGAAAGTCTGCATGACACTGTTAGTAGCACTAAGCAAAGCAGCCTTCCTTTCTCTTCAGCCATTCTGACTTGCTTTAGCCACAGTCTGAAAGGACAAAACAATGTTTCAGCTAGTGTCTTCAAAAAGAGCATTTTAGGCAGCTGTTAGTGCCAGGGTATGATG